AGACTCCAACTCAAAAAAAAAAAAAAAAAAAAAAGAGTACTAATCCTGAGCCAGGTTCAGTGGCTCATGCCTGTAATCTCAGCACTTTGGGAGGCAGAGGTGAGAGGATTGCCTGAATCCAGGGGGTCAAGACCAGCCTGGACAACTTGTGAGATCTTGTCTCTACAATAAATCAAAAATTAGCTGGGTATGGTGGTGCACACCTATAGTTCCAGTTATTTGGAAGTCTGAGGCAGAAGGATCACCTGAGTCCAGCAGGTTGAGGCTGCAGTGGTTGTGAGTATGCCACTGTTTTGGGCAACAGAGTGACACTCCTACCAAAAAGAAAAAAAAATTACTAATCCTGGCAAGGTACGGTGTCTCACGCCTGTGACCCTAGCACTTTAGGAGGCCAAAGTGAGAGGATTACTTGAGCCCAGGAGATTTAGACCAGCCTAGACAACATAGCGAGACCTCATCTCTACCAAAAATAAAATAAAATTTAAAAATAGTTTGGTGGGCCAGGCGCGGTGGCTCAAGCCTATAATCCCAGCACTTTGGGAGGCTGAAAGGAGACGACTGCCTGAACTCAGGGGTTCAAGACTAGCCTGGGCAACTTGGTGAAACCTCATCTCTACAATATATCAAAAAATTAGTGGGGCGTGGTAGCACAAGCCTGTAGTTCGGCTACTTGGAAGGCTGAGGCGGAGGGATCGTTTTAGCCCAACAGGTTGATGCTGGGGTAGCTGTGAGCATGCCACTGCACTCCAGCCTGGGCAACAGAGTGAGACTCTGACTCAAAACAAAAAAACAGCTGGGTGTGGTGGTGTTCGTCTGTAGTCCCAGTTACTTGGGAGGCTGAGGCAGAAGGATTCCCTAAGCCCCAGAAGGTTGAGGCTGCAGTGAGCCTTGATGGTGCCACTGTACTCCAGCCTGGGTGACAGAGTAAGACTTCAACTAAAAAAAAAAAAAAGAGTACTAATCCCAGGCACTAGTATCATGGTTCATGCCTGCAATCTCAGCCCTTTGAGATACCGAAGTGGGAGGAGCACTTGAGGCCAGGAATTCAAGACCAGACTGGACAACATAGCAAAACCCCATCTCTACAAAAAAATACAAAGATAAGCCAGGTGCAGTGGCATGCACCTGTAGTCCCAGCTCCTTAGGAGCCTGAGGCAAAAGGATTCATTAAGCTAGGAGATCAAGGCTGCAGTGAGCTATGATCATGCCACTGCATTCTAGCCTGCCACAGAGTGAGATCTTATCTTGAAAAAAAATGTACTAATCTCATTTATGAGGGCTGCCCTCATAACTTAATCACTTCTTAAAGGCTCCACTTTTTTTTTTTTTTTTGAGTTGGAGACTCACTCTTATCACCCAGGCTGGAGTACAGTGGCATGCTCACAGTCACCGCAGCCACTACCCGCTGGGCTTAGGTGATCCTTCCACTTCAGTCTAACAAGTAGGTGGAACTACAGACACACACCACCACTCCTGCCTAGTTTTTTTGTGTGTGTGTGTGATTTATTGTAGAGACGTGGTCTTGCCAAGTTGCCCAGGCTGGTCTCAAACCCTTAGACTCAGGCAATCCTCTCACCTCAGCCTCTCAAGATACTGGGATTATAGGCTGAGCCACTAAGCCCGGACAAGGCTCCACTTCTTAAGACGACCATGTTGAGTCTTAGGTTACCACATATGGATTTGGGGGAGACACATACATTTAAACCATAGCAACAACCACTCTTGGGATGGGTCATTCTGCCCTTTCACCAGGCTGTAGGGGAAGGAGGCTGTGCCCTAGTCCAGGTGAGGGCTGGACTAGGATGAGGGCAAGGTCAGGGAGGCCGGAGCAGGAGGAGGAAGGGGACAAAGGAAAGAGATGAGGCTGGACTGGGGTTGGGACCAATAAGAGATGGACTGGGGCTGAGAGATGGGCAGCATCAGGGGCCTCAGCCCAGCTGGCCTGGTGTCCCCCTTCCCATATTGCCGCAGATTTGCTCAGACTTGAGCCTAGAGCTCCACCCGGCTCAGCCATAGATGGTCACTCAACCCTGAGGTCTCCTGGACATTCGGCAAGGTTGTGCCAGTGCTGGCCAGAGATGGAAGGTCTCTGGCTGGAATGAATTAAAGAGACAGTACAAGGACCAAGGACACCAAGGTAGAATGAAACCCAACAGTCAGCCAAGAGTTGTCTTGGCTAGGACAAAAGAAAAAGAACTTTGCCACCAGGTATTTTGGCCAAGGGGCTGTCATTGTGTCCTTTCTAGATTTGGGGCAAAGGATGAGCCATCCTATGCTGGGGAGCAGCTTCCAGGTGGGTCCTCCCAAAGCACTAGCCTCTCCTGTTCATTTTTTCATTTCATCCTGACATGTACCAATTCAGGAACACTATTCATTACTCTTGTTTATTTTGTATTTTATGTTTCCCAGGCTGGAGTACAGTGTCACAATCACGGCTCACCGCAGCCTCGATCTTCCGGGCTCAAGCGATCCTCCTGCCTCAGCCTCTCAAGTAGCTGGGACTATAGCTATGTACCACCACCATGCCTGGTTAACTTTTCAATTTTTTTTGCTAAAGACGAGGCCTCACTATATTGCCCAAGCTGGTCTCTGGCTCCTGGGCTCAAGCAATCCTCTCACCTCAGCCTCCCAATATGCTGGGATTACAGAGTCATCACGCCCAGTTATTATTCCTATTTTATAATTTTTTTTTTTTTTTTGAGTTGGAGTCTCACTGTGTCGCCCAGACTGGAGTGCAGT